ACTTCTGGAGTTTCGACTGGGCCTTTGACTTGTAGATCTTCAGCTCATCCGCCTCTGGCGGCGGTGGCTCCCACACCGTGATGTTGGCAATCGCCTCATCAGGTGCTGCAACTGGAATCTGCGCAATCAGTTCACTGATGCTGGCGGATTTCTTCTGGTCCCTCTTTCTGCTGGCAGAACGTCTGGTGGGGTCTGGGCGAGGAGCCCACACGTCGCCGCAGGAGCATGTCCACTGAGAGTTCGGATCCCTGGTCTCGCACTGCCTGCATGTCCACGTGCCTCCTCCCATCGCGCTGTGGTGCGATTCGAGGAGGCGCTTGGCCTGGAACACGCTGAGGAGCAGGCGAGCTCGCCCTCGCTGTGCCCGCCGCCTCTTGTGCCAGGCCGGCTCGGGGGAGCCTCTGCGGCGCCCCGAGCGCGCCGTGCGTCGCGCGCGCCCTCTGATGCTCAGCCGCGGGCCTGGCCGCGGGAGCGTTCACGAGAAGGTGTCGCGAGGGGGGCGCGGCGCCTGAGCCCTGTGCTCCGCCAAAATGGCCTGAGCCCAAGTGGCTTCTCCTCCTCCTCCTCCTCCTCCTCCTCCTCCTCCTCCTCCTCGTCCTCGTCCTCCTCCTCGTCCTTCTCCTCGTCCTCCTCCTCCTCCTCCTCCTCCTCCGCCTCCTCCTCCTCCTTCATTCCTTTTCCTTGTAAATAACTTCTCCCTGTCGCACCCCGAGGAAAGTTTTTAGGGCAGGCCGGGCGTTTCGCCATGGTGACTCTGAAGCTTGAAAATTGGAAACATGTTCACAGATGGAGGGCGGGTGGTTTTCAAAATGTGGCTCTCTCCTTAGCGCCGCGCCCATTCGTTCTAAAAACTGCGCGAGCTTCACGGATCGAGGATCACCCGTTTTCAACATGTGGCTCTTGCTTTAGCGCCGCGCACATTCGTTTAAAACAACTGCAAGAGCTTCACGGATTGAGGATAACCCGTTTTCAGAATGTGGCCCTCGCCTTAGCGCCGCGCACATTCGCCCCGAAAATTTGCAAGAGTTTCACAGATTGAGGGCGGCGCCTTTTCAAAATGTGGCTCTCGCCTTCGCGCCGCGCACATTCGCTCATAAAATTTGCAAGAGTTTCACGGATTCCCACGATCAACTTACCAAAAATGATGTGTTGGAAGGGATGACGATTTCGCGGGTGCAACAATACGTTGATTCGCGGTGTTGAAATCCCAAGCCAACAATAGCGTTCTGGCAAGATCCAGGGTCGTCAAGGCGCAACAATCAGGTTGATCCGTGGCGTTGGAACCCCGAGGACAATGTTTTGGAATGCTTCCGGGTCTTCAAACGGTTGTCTTCCAACAAGACAGATCCTTCAATGGAAATGAACCGTTGTAGGGGCCTATGAAAAGGGAGCTTGGAGGGAGGGTGTATTCCAACATCGTTGATGGCTCTTGGGTTTACACTGGTCCTCCTCCTTCTCCTCCTCCTCCTCCTCTTCCTCGTCAATCACCATCACCATCACCACCACCACCATCATCACCATCATCATCACCATACCGGAGAAGCAATTAAGGAACCCCCCGGCGTTATCATTAGCACCGCGCCGTAATTAAATAATTATTTGGGGGGGTTTTCGCCGAGCGATATTATTAGCACCGCGCAAATGGAAGGAAAATAAATAATTCCAGCGCCCCGCCTCGGGTGGCATCCCAATTAGAATTGTAATGAGAATAAGAATACGAATACGAATAAGGAAAAGCTGAGAAAAGCTAAGGAAAAGCTTAGAAAAGCTAAGAAAAAGCTGAGAAAAGCTGAGGTAGCCCCTCCTGGTGCCAGGATAACGCTTCCGGGTGCCGGGTGCGTTATCCTTTCACCGGAGAGGGGGGGGGGGGTCCTTAATCGCTTACTCATCATCATCACCATCATCATCATCATCATCACCATCATCATCATCATCATCATCATCATCATCATCATCATCATCATCATCGTCATCATCATCATCATCATCATCATCATCATCAGCATCATCATCATCATCATCATCATCATCATCATCATCATCATCAGCATCATCATCATCATTAGCAGCATCACCATCATCACCACCATCATCCTAAACATAACCATAACATTGATAGCAAACATACTCATACTAATGTGGACGATGGTAATCGGAATCATCACATGAATACTAGTAGTCATCGGAATAAGCATAACAATAGCAATGAATAGCTAGGATGCTAACATGTAAATGAACCAGGAAAAGGACAAGAAGGAAAAACGAAAATAATAATGAAAATGCAAATAACAACTACTAAACCTTAGCCTGGCGAAAGACCTAAGCATATGCAGTTGTGAGCACCGTCGTTGTATGAGCCGCATTCGGTGGGGTTCCCTATAGGGCCACGAAACGTGTGAGGGGTGTGCCTGCATGGACGCGGTGACCGCATGAGAACGCTGGCATTTGGGCATTCGGTGGGGCTCCGTGTGGGTGCACGAATCGTGTGAGGGGTGTGCTAAAATGGGTGCGGTGGCCGCATGCGAACGCTGGCAGTTAGGCTTTCAGTGGGGCTCCCTCGGGGGCCACGAAACGTGTGAGGGGTGTGCCACAATGTGTGCGGTGGCCGCATGCGAACGCTAATATTTGGGCCTTCGGTGGGGCTCCTTGTGGGGCCACGAAACGTGTGATGGGGTGTGCCACAGTGGGTGCGGCGACCGCATGCGAACGCTGGCATTGGGGCATTCGGTAAGGCTCCCTGTGGGGCCATTGAACGTTTGAAGGGTGTGCCCAAATGGGTGCGGTGGCCACATGCGAACGCTGGCATTTCGGCCGTTGGTCGGGGTTCCTGTGGGCCCACGAAACGTGCGAATGATGTGCCACAATGGGTGCGGTGGCCGCATGCGGACGCTGGCATTTGGGCCTTGAGTGGGGCTTCCTATTCAGGGGCCACGAAACGTGTGAGGGGTGTGCCACAATGTGTGGGGTGGCCGCATGCGAACGCTAACATTTGGGCCTTCGGTGGGGTTCCTTGTGAGGCCACGAAACGTGTGATGGGGTGTGCCACAATGGGTGCGGTGGCCGCATGCGAACGCTGGCATTTCGGCCGTTGGTCGAGGTTCCTGTGGGCCCACGAAACGTACGAATGATGCACCAAAATGGGTGCGGTGACCGGATGCGAACGTTGGCGTTTGGGCCTTCGGTCGGGCTCCCTGTGGGCCCACGAAACGTGCGAATGATGTGCCACAATGGGTGCGGTGGCCGCATGCGGACGCTGGCATTTGGGCCTTGAGTGGGGCTTCCTATTCAGGGGCCACGAAACGTGCGATGGGGTGTGCCACAGTGAGTGCGGACGCAGCATGCGAACGCTGGCATTTGGGCCTTCGGTGGGGCTCCCTGTGGGGCAGCGAAACGTGTGAGGGGTGTGCCAAAATGGGTGCGGTGGCCGCATGCGAACGCTTGCATTTGGGCCTTCCGTGGGGCTCCCACTGGGGCCACGAAACGTGCGATGGGGTGTGCCACAGTGGGTGCGGACGCACCATGCGAACGCTGGCATTTGGGCCTTCGGTGGGGCTCCCTGTGGGGCTGCGAAACGTGTGAGGGGTGTGCCAAAATGGGTGCGGTGGTCGCATGCGAACGCTGGCATTTAGGCCTTCGGTGGGGCTCCCTGTGGGGCCACGAAACGTGTGAGGGGTGTGCCAAAGTGAGGGGGGCATGGGAGGAGGAGGGAGGGAGGGGAGGAGGGGGCAGCGGGATGGAACGCGGGGATCGTCTTTTCAAAACGAGAACCCAACACACAGGATGGCCGGGAAGAAATGAGTCATAAGAATAATAATAAGAACAAGAATAAGCGTAATAATCTGAATAACGATAAGCATGTGAATACTCTCATAATAGTATTAATCATGCTCATCAGAAGGATAGTAAGAATATACATAAGAGTAAAAATCATAATGATAGCAATCCCGATAATGATAACGTTAATGGTAAGTACGATCGCAATTACGATACGAATAAGAACACGAATATCAGTATACTACTATTCTCAGCAGTCATAAGACTGCGAATGGTAAGAGTGATGATAAGAATCATCATCATCAGCAGCAGCATCATCGCCAGCATCATCACCATCATCAACATCAACGTCATCATCAGCAGCAGCATCAGCATCGCCATCATTGCTGTCATCATTACCATTGTTATCATCAGCAACATCTTTACCATAAGCATCATCATAACAATCAGCATCACCAGCAGCAGCATCAGAATCATTATCATCAGCAGCAGCATCGTTAGAATCATCACATGCATGGTCAACAACATCGTCATCATCAGCATCATCAGCAGCAGCATCGTCACCATCATTATCATCACCGCCACCACCATCACCATCACTTCACCATCACCTCCACCACTATCACCGCAACCCCCATCACCATCATTCTCATCACCACCACCATCACCAACACCATCATCACCATCACCACCACCACAACCACCACAATCATCATCCTCATCAACGCTATACTCATCATCATCCTCATCCTTAACATGGTCAGCATCGTCATCATCAGCATCATCACCATTATCAGCACTGCTGGTATCATAGTCGTGATCGTCGTGATCATCGTCGTCATCGCTGTCATCGCGATCATCGAAATCCTCATCATCATCACCATCAACATCATCATCGCCAACATCACCAGCATGATCACCATCATCATCACCATGAACATCACCATCATCATTAGCCTCATCAACATCATCATGATCGTCGTCATCAACATCATCACCATCATCACCATCATCAGCATCATCAGCATCAGCATCAGCATCAGCATCAGCATCAGCATCAGCATCAGCATCATCATCAGCATCAGCATCAGCATCATCACCATCACCATCATCATCACCATCAGCATCATCACCATCAGCATCATCATCATCATCATCATCATCACCATCAGCATCATTATCATCATCTCTCCTCCCTCTCTTTCTGGCCCCCTCGACGAGGAGTCCTGTCAGCGCCAGCTCTCCGGCGAGGATGTCGCGCTCCTCAGGGTCCATGTCCTGCAGCGCGGACAGGCAGTCGGCCTCGAAGCCCTGGGTCATGAGGACCAGGCGCTTCGCCGCCAGGTCGCACCCTTCTCTCTCTATCTCTCTTTCTCTCTCTCTCGCTCGCTTTCTCTCTCTCTCTCTCTCTCTCTTTCTCTCTTTCTATCTCTCTCCCTTTCTCTCTTTCTATCTCTCTCCCTCTCTCTCTCTCTTTTTTTCTCTCTCTCTCTCTCTCTCTCTCTCTCTCTTCCCCCCCAGACATCCTCTCGTGAGCTCCCGCAGGCCTACCAGCCTGGGCAGGCTCTCGGGGGTGCCCGAATCGTCCCGAACGAACGCCGGAGGCCCGAACCATGGCCCGAAAGACAAACTCATCCGCGTTGTGACAGCGCCACCCGCGACGGGATGCTTCTAGCTGTCTTCGGTGTCTGATGGCCCTTGCCGAGGGGCCCTTGCCGGGCCCCAGGGCTACGAGAGAAAGACTCGGGGTGAAGAGCTGGTCCACGGAAAGAGGCCCAGATCTCTGGAAGCCTTGTTGCGACAAAAAACCAAACAAACAAAACAAACAAACAAACCAAAAATCACTATGTCTGACGCCTGGGTCTCTCTGCTTCTCTCTCGTAGCGAGAGTATCTACCCCCTCTCTTCGCCCCCCCTCCTCTAGAAGAACACATCCGCGCGGATTTCTTGGATCGGATCTAGGCTCCCTGGCGACGCCTCTGGCGCCGACCCCCCAAGAGAGTCCCAAAAGGAAGACGCACATATTCGGGCTCCGAGCGGGGGACCCTCACTTAGGGAGGGCGCGTTTCAGGGGCGCTTGGCTTGAAAACACAACAAAGGGCGGGAAGGCACGGCTGGGGTCCAAAAGGGCACTTAGTGGGCAACGCTGGAGCAGCCGTACATGCTGAGTGCTGCATTTTGCAACCTTAACTAGCAGGGTACAGCTGTGATACAACTGCACAGAACGGAGTGGGAGGAGAGCAAGGTGGCGGAGGCGGAGGAGCAGGTGGAGCACTGGGTGACCTGTCGCGACACTGTGCGTCTGGAGGCCACACGCCGACCAGCGGTTCTGCAGGTACTCCTCCATGACTTCCACCTCGCGTTCCTCCTGCTCCTCATCCCCCTCCCCCTCCTCCTCCTCCTCCTCCTCCTCCTCCTCCTCCTCCTCCTCCTCCCCCTCCTCCTCCTCCTCCTCCTCCTCCTCCTCCTCCTCCTCCTCCTCCTCCTCTTCCTCCTCCTCACACTCCTCTTCCTCCTCCTCCGCCTCCTAAGCGGGGTGGTCCCGTCCTGCCCCCTCCTCCGCCTCATCCTCCTCCGCCTCCTCCTCCGCCGCCTCCCAAGCAGGGTGGTCCTCTCCTCCGCCTCCTAGGCGGGGTGAGAAGCCAGACAGGGTCGGCGATTGTCCCTTCGGCGTGGACGCTCTGTCGTCGACGCTGCAGGGTGCGCGGCGGAAGCGGGGCCCAGCGCATGCCGCGCGCGAGAGAGAGAGAGAGACGTCGCCGCTCTCGCCTCAGCGTCGCGCATGTTTGTTCTCAACGCTGCGCCCCCGCTTGGGCGCAGCGACGTGTCGTTCTCTCCCCAGCGCCGCGCGCCAAGTTCGCCGGGGAGTGGCGCCCCCACCTGGGCGCAGTGCGAGCTCCACTTCGCTCGCCGGGTCGTCGGAGACGGGGCCGTGCCCGAGCGGCGAAATATGCCGCTCCTGCCAGAGCGCCGCACGCAGTTCGCCCGAGTGCTCCCGGTGCTCGGGCGCTGCCCGTGCCTTCGCCAGCCCTGCCGGAAACTCGGCCTTTTGCGCGAGGGCCGAGGTGGTGCTCCCGCCGAGTGCTGCGCCGCGCAGGTATGTTCTGGAAGTTCCGCTGCCGCCCGTGCGCCGCCCGTACCCAGGCATGATCGCGTCGTACAGAATCAGGGCGGGAGGTTTGAGGCCGTCTTCGGCCCCTGGGCCTGGGGCGTCGTACAACGACTCAGGAGAAACCGGTCCCAGGGAAAGGGTCGGGACTTCCAGGGGCCCCGTGATGAAAAAATCAGGACGTCGCATGTCTGGGTGCGCTTTTCTTCGCCACGTCGCGGCAACCAGGGCAGCGCGCGCGCGCGCGCGAGCGAGCGCATCCCGTTCGCTAGGTGGGAGCGCGCGCCAATCCCCATATCCAATTGCGCCGACCTTGCTTGCTATGCAACGGGAGGGAAGGTGGCAGTTGGCGAGGCCGCTGACTCGCTCGAGCTGGCTGGCTTGACTCCTGCTCCTTCGCCTGCCCCTTCATCCTTCTCCTCCTCTTCCTTCTCCTCCTCCTCCTCCTCCTCCTCCTCCGCCTCCTCCTCTTCCTCCTCTTCCTCCTCTTCCTCTTCTCTCTCCCCTCTCCATTCTCCCTCTTCTACCTCGGACTTCGTGGCCAAGAGCTTCACGAAGTTGAAGGAGTCCAGAAAGGCCAAGAGGACCCGCAGAGGAAACTTCAGTACAAACTTGTCAGACCCAGACCAGGACGACCGATAGCATGGTTCTGCGCCAGCGACGTCGGTAAGCCAGTGTACAAAGTAGAAGCTAATTTCTGACTCGGAGGCCCCTCCCTGCACGACGACCTGCTTGAACAGAGAGAACAAGGGACCCGGCGGTGCCTCACCTTGCACGAGCCAGCCGTTGTTGAAGCCCAATGTGCTCTGGGAGAATAGAACGGGAGCGCGCTGACTCGGTGTGAGTCCCTGGAAACTTGGTAACAAGCTCGGGAAATTCTCCATGATGTACGCGAGAGCAACGTCGTGATCAAGGATACGGCTGCCCGCCGCTACGCCCTGGAACCGCGAATGCTTGATATGCACCGTGGGTAGCAAACAGTTGTTTTTCATCACATCGTGAATTGCTGTCAGCACAAGTAACGCCACCATACGGTCGTGGTTAATGACAGTGCGGCCGTCCCTGATCGTCAGCAAATTTGCCCGGACCAGCAGATCTTGAACCTTGTCCCACCGCATCTGCGCGTAGAACAAACATCTCTTCTCGTCTGCCTCACAGGTGGCGGAGGTGTGAGGTTGCCAGTTCTCGTCCACACCTGGGCGCCAAAAAACCGAAGCGGCGCAAATAAGAAGCACAATACGTTCTTATGTTACTTGTCCTCCTCATCCTCATCCTATAGCTTATGTCAGTATAACAAGGTACTGTAGAAGCATGCTGTTTGCATTGAAACGGCGAGCGTAAAACTTCGTAGCCGCATACAGAGACAACAAGAAAACGCTAAAGGACGGCATCGCGCGAATTCTCTCCACGAGCCATTCATTACCGTACACACGCATCCAACACCCCTTGGTTAAATACGGGGTTACTTACGAACTACATCCCTGGCGCCGTCGCAAAGGTAAACGCGCCGCGTTGATTACAGGCTAGTGAGGACGTCCTCTCCCTCATCCTTCACCACCTCCTCCTCCTCCTCCTCGTCCTCCTCCTCCTCACCATCGTGCTCTCCCACCCTCGCGGTATGGCACAACCGCAAGACCCCAATACCCTGTGGCCCTAAGACCAAAGAAGCGATGGTAGACCTGGCAGGCTCGGGTCGTGATGAGTTCGGCCTCGGCTTCTGACACCGCGTGGATCGTTCAGCCTTGAACGACCGCGGCGTTCCGATTGCGCAGACCGTTCGGCATCGACCGACTCCAGGCCACCGGCCGTGCTCAACGTTGAACGCCCGCATTGAGGGGAGGCCGCCAGGTCGACACGGCGCGAATCGGAGGAGGGCCTCTTGAGACAACGGCGGCTCGCCCGCCCAACCCAAATCCGCTGAAAGCCTGTCCCCAGCCGTGCCCCTCCAGGATCCATCTTGACCCGTTTTTCCGAAGCAGACCCAGCCGTGGCGACGAGAAGCCTCCGGGAGGCCCAGGGCGATGCAGGACTATGCAGGCGAGGCGGTTCCAAGCTCTGTGAGCACAGTGGCGCCTTTGGCGGCGAGGGGCACCTCGATGAGAGGATACGCCCCTCGAATGGGGAGCGTCAGGGATCCAGGAGCCCCGGAGAAGACGAAGAACGCCGAGGAGAGCCGACATGGTCTCGACGGGCCCCCGCTCGGAGCCAGCCGTGCCCGGGCCCCTCGGACTTCTGCGTTGCCGGTGGCTGCGTCGGCAGAGAGACCGCGAGAGCTCTTTTGCGGCGCGGATGGCTGCGGAATTTCCATGCGGCGGCACGCTTGCGCGAGGCGGGGATTTGTTCATATCCACAGCCTGGGAACCGACGTCCTGGTGCCCCAGCGGGCGGTGGATATGGATATATGTTGGCGCCCGGTGGCCCGAATATGTCCATATCCACCGCCTGCCGAGGTCCCCGAAAATTGATCCTCAAGGCGGTGGTCATGTAAAAATTCCCGCCTCTGGGCTTGCCCCAACGTGGCCGCACATTCAACTAGAGTTCCTTCTGGTCGGCAGCAGCGTGGGACACGAGACGTCGGGCAGCAACAGCCGGAGGCACGGCACGGCTGCTCGACCGGAGCTACGCGTCGTCAGCACGTCTTCGACCCCCACGATTGGGGGCGCGAGGGGGAAACAGGGGGCGAGGAGGAGGGGGTGTCCTCCTCCTCCTCCTCCTCCTCCTCCTCCTCCTCCTCCTCCTCCTCCTCCTCCTCCTCCTCCTCATGATCATCATCATCATCATCATCATCATCATCATCATCATCATCATCATCATCATCATCAGCATCAGCATCATCATCATCATCATCATCAGCATCATCATCATCAGCAGCCGCAGTATCAGCATCAGAGTCATCATCAGCATCATCAGCGTCGTCATCATCGTCAGCATCATCATCAGCATCATCAACATCATCAGCATCATCAGCATCATCATCAGCATCATCATCAGCATCAGCATCAGCATCAGCATTATCATCAGCATCATCAGCATCATCATCTGTATGATCATTAGCAGCAGAAGCAGTAGCAGCAGCATGAGCATCATCATCACGTCGTCATCACATCGATCAGAGTTACGTTCCCCCACCCCCCACGCGGCAACGCCATCGACCCTTGACGCGAGCGCGCCTCCCAAAGCAAAGCCCCAGGACGACGGGGGGGCCGACCTGTCATGGGCGAACCCGCACGCAGCCCCTGGGCTCGGAGAAAGGGGGAAAGGGGGTACTGACAGTGCCAACCAGAATTGGCCACCAAACCAGCCCTCGCAGATCAGTAGCAGCACGGGCCAGTAGCCATCGTCATAACAACCATCAACAGAATGCTGGCATGTCAGACTGCAGCTATCGGAACGATTCTAGCACCTGGGACTGCCAGCGGGGCGAAGCCAGTCGCACGTAGACTGCCCATGGGCGCAAGAAATGTGGCAATATTTCGACCCTTTCTGACGTCGATCCCATGGAAGACATTATGCTGGGTGGGAGCGGCACATTATGTGTCCCACTTGCCATAGCAGAATATGTCCTTGCCGTCCATGTCCAGCCGGGTCACGCAGTATATCGAATACATCGCCCCCATAGTCCGCAGGAACTCGGCTGAGCCCGAGAGGCCAGAAGAGTACAATCCCGACACCTAGAGACGCGTTATTTTGCTTATGTCGATTCGGCAGCCAGGCGGAGGGGGGGAGGCGACGGACACGGATGACGACGAGAGACACGCAAAGAGGAGCGCAAAGAAGAAGAGGCGAAAGTAAATGATTAAAGCTGGAACTGCTTGGGTAGAGGACCAAACAGTGACGTAAACATAAACTTTCGGAGGTCCGCGCGAATTTCTCGGGTCCGCACTGGGGCCCCCTGCCGCGCTCCGCGCGCCAGGGAAGGGGGTCCAGCGCCGATCCAAGAAATCCGCGCGGACCTGCGAGTTTATGCTTATGTAGTTAATCGTTTGTTCGGCGTGCGGACTCCAGGATCAGCCGAAGAGCAAGCCCAGAAGAACTAGACCGCGATAAGAAGACGGCCTGAGGATGCGCGAGGTACGGTCCACAGGCGCCTCCCACGTCTTGGCTTTTCAACACTCGGCGCTCCGAGGCTCTCGACCTCATCTTTGAAGGGGCCCAGGGACACACGAATCAACGTACAGAAATTCCAGGATCCCCCATAGGTAGTCCACATGCTGAAGATTCCCGTCTCCCCCTCCGCCTCCAATATGTGTTCCCAGATTCTCTGGGACATCGACGATTCTTCGTGTCCGTGTCTATCGCTCCCTCCTGCACCTCTCGCACGAGCTTCGCTGCGCGGGCTGGCTCTTCAGGCCCCGGGGCAGGGCGCCGCAGCTTGCTTGCACACGCCGGGCGTCGTCGCCCAAGCTCGGGCCCCCCACGGGACCCTCACGCATCGATCCGGCTCGAACAGTGCAGCAGACGGAGGTGGGGTTCAGGGCTCGGGTGGTGACGTTTCGCGATGTCGCGGTGTGTTTTAGCAGCGTCGGACCTCCGGGGAGCCTGGGCTCGGAGCAGTGTGCCGCCCCGTCCCGCCCAGGGCGCCGATGGGGTCTGGGCAGGCTGCGGGCACTGGCTGGACAGAACACCGCTCCAGTAGGCTCAGGTCGGGCATGTCCTCCTACAGGCGGAGTCTGGAAGGGAAAAAAATAAAAATAGTGAAAAAACTACAAAAATAGTAAAAAATAGTAGAAACATCGTCCCAATACTATTTTTGACTATTTTTGAATATTCCTCCTGCAGAAGGACAGGCCCGACTTAACAACAGGCAGCTCGACGCACAGCGGTGGTCAACAGCCACTTCGGGGGAGATGGGCGCGCGACCGCACCCGCCGCCACAGGGACTGCGCCGAGAGCGAAGGCTGCGGCTGGGGGTTCCTCCTCACCGTCCGACCCCTCCAGACACCCCCTCCTCTTTCCTCCACCTCTTTCGTTGTGTCCTCATCCCCATCCTCCTTCTTCCCCCCTTCTCCTTCTTCCTCCTCCTCCTCATGAGCTCTGAACTCAGGACAGTTGCGACTTCGAGCCTGGCACCATCGACACCACTCCACCGTGGCCCACGCCAGAGGGAGGGGGCGGAAAACAAGTCTTGATGCTGAAGAGGCAGGGGACAAGAAGGGGGCAACAACAACACCGCGAACGACGACTCGTCATCCTTATTATCCTCCTCCTTCTCCTCCTTCTCCTCCTCCTCCTCCTCCTCCTCCTCCTCCTCCTCCTCTCCCCCTCCCCCTCCTCGTCCTCCTCCTCCTCCTCCTCCTCCTCCTCCTCCTCCTCCTCCTCCTCCTCCTCCTCCTCCATTCCTCCTCACCCTCGTCCATCTATGCCGGCCGGGTGGAATAATCCAGACTGGTACCTTCCCCCCATAGCTTCATGACTCGGCGAGGGAAAGAAAAAGGCCGCCTCGGCGACAGTGTCGGCCTCCTTGTTCGGCCCCACGCTGTAGAGCGTCAGCTCGGGGAAGGCTTCTACCACGTCCTCATGAAAGTCGCGAAGTGAATAGCTCGGATCTCGGAGTCTGCGAGCAGCCGAGTTGGCGCGCTCCCACTTGGTTGGCTTACCCTGCATCGATTCGACGAGCATCTCGTCCACGACCTCTACATCGTCGTCACGGATGAAAAGGGACTTCGGCAGGAAGGGACGATAGCTTCGCAGGTTGGCGAGCAGTTGTGACAGCGGCTTGTTAACGAAAGACTCGGCCCTATCGCTCGACAGAAGTACCTCCGCTGAGTTCAAATCGAAATTGACAAGATGTTTGGCAATGCGGGAGGCCATTTTTACTGACTCCTCGTGGCGCCGTGCATCCTTCCGCGCGACCGCGCTGTAAGACCTGAGCATTGTGAAATTCACGAGTATCGGCACAGTACTGCACATGAACTGAGACAGAGCTGTGGGCTTGGTCTCGTACGGAACAAGCTGAATCCATCCGAGGTGGTCGTCTTGAACTTGGAGCGCAACATATATAACGATCAAAACACGTAGGAGAATCGATAACCTATGCAGCGTTGCTTGGTCGTGCTCCGACTGCATAACCAACAGCACGTCCAGCAGAAGTACATAACCCAAGTGGTAGTTTGACGCAAACCCTGCATTGAATCCGAGGGCAGTGATGACCAAGAATCCATTAACCATGAGTCCTACCTTCAGAGCCGAGGTCATGCCGAAAACGTACAAATGTAATAAAGCATGAGCTTGTACCAGGAAATTATACCCAGCTATGGTGTCAACCACGACCCACGATATGTCAGTATCATCGCCCCACGACATGAACGAATATAAGCAATATGACAGCGAGCCAAGAAGAAAAATTGTGCACATACGCACTGTGAAGACGGTCTGGCGGACTTGTTCAGAATCTTCAGTGCCTCGGATGAAGTGTTTCATCCAGCGCTCGTCTGGCCACAGCCTGATCAGTAGGCTTGAACTTGTCTTTGACAATCGAGGCGCCTCATCATCTGCAGAACAGCTTTGCTCTGTCCAGGGTATACTTTCATCGTGCATCTCCCCCAGGGATATAGATACCCGGCGGGGCCAGGCTTGCCTCTAATGGCAGTCTGAGCTGACAGAGGCACGACAAGTGATCAAAACCGCCATGTTGACAAAATACCAATCATGCTTATCGTGATTGCTACCACGACCACCTGCTTACACCGGAAAACAAAAACTGCACAAACAGAAACGGAAACATCCTGAGGTCCGAGAGTTTATGATTATGCCGTTTCTCCTCTTCGACACAGGCGATGGGATGTAGTTGAACTGGCAGCGATAGGGGAACGAAAAATGACATAAACATAAAAACTCGGAGGTCCACGCGGATTCCTCGGATCCGCGCTGGACCCCCCTCCATGGCGCGCGGAGCGCGCCAGGGGCGGCGCCGGAGGCGGCACTGGGGGGCCCCAGCGCCGAAAATGACATAAACATAAAAACTCGGAGGTCCACGCGGATTCCTGGGACCCCCGAGATAAGGTGTTACTGCGGCCCGTTGGTTGTTACTGCGGCCCGGTGGGTGTTAGTATGGCCAGGGGTCCTCCGGAGTGTATTAATTTTCGAGTACGGTGAGGGGGGGGGGGAGGGGTCCAAAAAGGCTCCGCCCCCCCCCCTTCACCGAAGAGCCTCTCGGAAGAGCCTCTGGTGCTCCCCGAAGAGCCTCTTGGAGCCGCCGAAGGCCTTCTTGCAGCCGCCTAAGAGCCTCTTGGGCTCTCCGAAGGACCTCGTGGGGCCTCCGAAGACCCTCTTGGGGCATCCGCAGCGCTTCTTGGGCTCTCCGAAGAGCCTCTTGGGCTCTCCGAGCTACTACTACTACTACTACTACTACTACTACTACTACTACTACTACTACCACTACTACCACTACTACCACTACTACCGCTACTACTACGACTTCGACTACGACTACGACTACGACTACGACTACGACTACTACTACTACTGCTACTGCTACTACTACTACTACTACTACTACTACTACTACTACTACTACTACTACTACTACTACTACTACTACTACTACTACTACTACTACTACTACTACTACTACTACTACTACTACTACTACTACTACTACTACTACTACTACTACTACTACTACTACTACTACTACTACTACTACTACTACTACTACTACTACTACTACTACTACTACTACTACTACTACTACTACTACTACTACTACTACTACTACTACTACTACTACTACTACTACTACTACTACTACTACTACCACTACTACCACTACCACTACCACTACCACTACTACTACTACTACTACTACTACTACTACTACTACTACTACTACTACTACTACTACTACTACTACTACTACTACTACTACTACTACTACTACTACCACTACTACTGCTACTACTACTCCTCGTCGTCCCTAGCGCCCTAGGGCTAGCACTCCCTAGCGCCAGTACTTCCTAGGGCTAGCACTCCCTAGCGCCAGTATTTCCTACCACTCCCTCGGACTAGCGCTCCCTAGGACTAGTACTCTCTAGGGCTGGTACTCCGTAGTGCGAGTACTCCCTAGGACGAGTACTTCCTTGGACGAGTACGCCCTTGGAGTAGTGATTCCTAGGACTGGTACTCCCTGGGGCTAGCACTCCCTGCGGCTAGTACTCCGTAGGACTAGTACTCCTTATGCATGATACTACTTATCACCAACACTACAGCACCATAGTACTACCACACTACAGCACCACTACCACAATACCAGCACCACAACACCACAACACCGCTACCACAACACCACAACACCGCTACCACAATGCCAACCACAACACCACAACACCGCTACCACAACACCACTACCACAGCACCACTGCCACTACCACAACACTACGACCTACTAACAACTCAACAACACTACCAACACCACACCACTAGCACAACACTAGCAACACCACACCACTAACACAGCACACCACTACCAACACCACACCACTAACACAGCATACAGCACAACCAGCCACTACCAACACCACACCACTAACACAACATTACCAACACCACACCACTAACACAGCATAGCGACCACCACACCACTAACACAGCACTACTACCACGTTGGTTCCAGATGGGAGTTACTGTGGCCACTTTTGCTTGCGCGGGAGTGCATTCCCTTAAGGGTTGCGAATCTCTCCAGATCTAACATGAGATACCTTTACATATTACTTTTCATTGAGCGGCCTGCGCGGGCCACAGTAACTCTCATCCCTCTGCGCGACGGGCCACACTAACACCCAACGGGCCACACTAACACCCAACGGGCCACAGTAACAACCGGTCGCGATCCGCGCTGGACCCCCCTCCATGGCGTGCGGAGCGCGCCAGGGGCGGCGCCGGAGGCGACGCTTGGGGGTTCCAGCGCCGATCCGAAGAATCCGCGCGGACCTCCGAGTTGTTTATGTCCCTTTTTGTACCCCTAAGAGAGCGCCATTCTGTCGCGGATCTCGAAAACCCCGAACCAAAAAGACTTGCCATCCCTTGGGAAGCCGATCGTTGCCTCCGCTGGCCTCCGCCGGTCTTCCGGAGCCGCCCCCGCCGTACTTCCGCGACCTTCCGCCGCCCCTCCGCTTTCCTCCGCCGAGAGAAAGATGGCAACTCCTTCCTCGAGGGCAATGACCTCTTCTACAGAACGCCTCGCCGCCCTTCCTGATGCCACCACCACCACCACCACCACAAGTTGGAGGGAGGAAGGAGGTGGAGGAGGAGAAGGACGAAGAGGAGGAGGAGGAGGAGGAGGAGGACGAGGAGGACCCCCACCCCCTCCTACTTATGGTGGCGGTGGTGGAAAACAAGCCTACCACTTCCGCCCTCCTCCGCCGAGAGAAAGCTGGCAACTCCTTCGGTCCTCGATGGCGAAGACCTCTCCTACAGAGCGCCTCGTATGTGCCGTGCCGCCCGTGCCGTGCCGTGCCTTGTGGCCTCGTGGCCTCTCGGTGCCCGGAAAAGGTGCCGCGGTCGGGGCCGCGGCGCGCTGGCGTGCGGCGTCGCGTGGCGCTCAGAAGCACTGGAACTGGCGCGCCAGAGACTAGGAACAGAAACTTCTGTTGCTCCCATCGTACTTAAAAACCACATCCCAGAAATGATTTCGAGCACCCAGAGAAGTGTTGAAACAGTGTCGAACGAGTATCGCCTCCCAGGGCCCGACCAGTGAAAACCCTCAAGTTTCGATACTCTCTTGATGCTCGAAATTATTTCTGGCGGTCAAGGCTAAAGGTTGTAACATCACAAACACCAGCCTGATATTGCCACGAACCCCGACCTTGGAGGACAAGTGGGTGTGACTTGCGAGGAAGAAGAAAACACAAAGATGAAGATGCCTATGAGGCCGCATAGTGCTGATTCCCGTGGTTGTCTGTTTGACGCCGTGCCGCTTAAGGCGCCTTATGTTGATTCCCGTGATGTCCATTGGATGCTGTGCCACTTTGTCGGGGCGTCTCCGACCATCTTGGAGCCCTGTTGTGCAGTCTTCGGGCCCTGGGGCGTCTCCGACCATCTCGGTGCCCTCTCAGGCAGTTTGGGGGCCCTCTTGGGGGCCTCTGGGGGCTTCCTGGAGGCCTCTTGGAGGCTTCTTCATAATCTAGGAACACAAAAAAATGAACATACAGTCGGGAACTTTTGCTTGGCATGTCGCGGCGGCGGCCCTGGCGCCACGCTATGCCCTGCAGGCCGTCGGCTTGTTGCTCCCCTCCGCGGGGCGAGAGGCCAAGAAAAATTCCTGAGACTTGGGAAGTGGATAGCATGTCGCACCGAGGGATGGTGGGCCAGAACCGGCGAAGCGACATGCGAACCAAAAGTTCCCGATCGTTAACATAAGCTCTCGGAGGTCCGAGTGGATTTCTTGGGTCGCCGCTGCGCCACCCTCTCTGGCGCGCGGAGCACGCCAGGGGCGGCGCAGGAAGCGCCGCCCAGGGGGACCTACGCAGATGCGAGAAATGCGCGCGGAGCTGCGAAAGATTATGCGAATGCCGTTTCTTCTTCTTCTTCGACAGAGAAGGCGCGCCGAACATGCGGCGACGAAGCGCCTGCCAGTGCCACTTCGAGCCTCCTCGAGGAATGAAGCCCTCAAGACCGTGTCTCCTCCTCCTCCTCCTCCTCCTCCTCCTTCTCCTCCTCCTCCTCCTCCTCCTCCTCCTCCTCCTCCTCCTGCTCCTCCTGCTCCTCCTGCTCCTCCTCCTCCTCCTCCCCCATTCTTTTTCCTTGTAAATAATTTCTCCCTGTCGCCCCCCGAGGCCGGTCGAAAGGGCGGGCCAGACGTTTCGCCTGCGACTTCCTCACCACTTATGACCCTGAAGCTTAAAGCCACAGTTTCACAGATGGAGAGCGGGTCGTTTTCAAAATGTGGTTCTCGCCTCAGCGCCGCGCACATTCGTTTCAAAATTTGCAAAAGCTTCGCTGATTGTGGCTCTCGCCTTCGCGCCGCGCACATTCGTTTTGAACATTTGCACGAATTTCACGGATTGAGGGCGGCTCCTTTTCAAAATGTGGCTCTCGCCATAGCGCCGCGCACCATCCCTTTTGAAAACTGCAAGAGTTTCACATATTCCCATGGTCTACGTACCAGGAGTGGTGTTTCAGAAAGGTTCAGGTGTATGCGGGTTCAACAGTTACTTTGATTCGCAGTGTTGAAGTTCCACGAATGGTTATCTGGCACGATTCAGGATCGTCAAGACGTAACAGTCAGATTGCTCCGTGGCGTTGGAGTCCTGAAGATAATGTTGTGGCACGCTTCGCGCTCTTCAAACTGGTGCCTTCCAACGAGGCAGTTCTCTCAGTGGAAACGAACCGTTCTAGGGGCCTACGAGACGGGAGCTTGACGGGAGGGTGTATTCCAACATCGTTGATGCCTGTTGGGTTTAATCACACTGGTCCTCCTCCTCCTCTTCCTCCTCCTGCTCCTCCTCCTCCTCCTCCTCCTCCTCATCATCATCATCATCATCATCATCAGCATCATCATCATCATCATCATCATCATCATCATCATCATCATCATCATGACCACCTCGCCTTGCCACCGCACGGCTGCGCCACAGCGTCTTGCGCCACCAGCCATGGAA